ACACACACGCGTGCACGCACACATGCATGGAGGGACGGGGGCACCTTTGTGTGGGCTCAGCCTCACCTGTCCACACCAACAAATTCCCGCACTTGCAGTCCCCTCCATCCCACTCCACTCCCTGCAGGAAGGCCCCTTCCAGGAACGCAAAGGCTCCAGCAGAGAAGAAGAAAGGTTTTCACGGATCCCGCGGAGCATCCTATAGCTTGGCCTTGACCGCAAGGCGGGAGGCAAAGCAGGGAGCGGGGCAGGGAGCCAGAGCAGGAGACCGGGCATCGGCAATGCCAGGTGTGCCGCAAGGACATCGCACACCTCCCAGGTGTCCCTCTGAGCGTGGCCTCCCAGGTCTGTGACTGCAGAACCGCGGGCGGTCAGCGGCTCCCTGGGCCAGCCTGGGAAGGAGAAGAGGGGAGAAGGGAGGGGACAGCACGAGGGGGAGGAGAGGAGGAGGAGAAGGCAGAAGGTGATGGAAGAGGCAGATGCGGGGAGTGGGGAAGGAGAGGAGGAGGGGCAAGAGGAGGGGGAGGGGAGGGAGGAAGAGGGTCAGGAAGAAACACACCTGGGGCCGCCTGGTTCCTGTTACTCTTGTTGGGCTTTACCTTGAGAACTAGATTCCTAGGCAATTCGTTCACTTTTTCTGGGGAAAATAAGAAAAAAAAAAGTCAAGCCAGAAAACAACTGCGTTTTCCTTTCCTCCTATTCCGGTTTGACCAGATATTTCAAGGTCACTCTGCGAAGAACTCTGCTTCTTCAAAGAAGGGGAAATGCAATCGAAGACCCGGGGAGCGGGGAAGAGGGGCTCGGTTCCCAAGGCTGCCTCCTCCAGACTGAGGCCCTGGGGAGCCCCGAGGGGGCCTGGGCAAGCTGCTTTGCTCCCCGGAGCTTCCAGCCCTCTCCCCTCGAAGACCAAAGCACGCCAAGTGTCCACATCTTTGGCCTCTGAAATTTGCAAAAGGCCCCGGGAAACCCAAACCCCTGGCCTCAAGGTGGATTTCCCACACTTTAAAGGAAGATTTACTGGGTGATCGCTTGCAAAAGGTGTGCAGTGCACAGAGGTCTGAAAAGTGTGCAGTCCCCCCCCCGGGGGGGGCTAGGGGAAGACGCGACTCTAGCCAGGACTCTAGCCACTTCTTGGGAGAAGGCAGCCCCACGCCTCCTTCCAGCACTTCATCCCGGGGAGGCACACACAGAGGTCAAGTTTCCTGGGCTGAACTCCACCTGGGGTCTCGCTCCTCTAGCCTCAGTCTATTTTTTCTCTTCCCTTTGAGTGGGTTAGGAGGGTTCAGTTTGGAAGCCTGGGGGAGGGGGGGATTCCTATTAACATTGTTACCATGTAAAAGAAGAAAAAAAAAGTGTGTGTGTGTGTGTGTGTGTGGAGAGAGAGAGAGAGAGAGAGAGAGAGAGAGAGAGATTTCAGAGCATGCAGAGTGCAGGCAGGGGACAAGTGTCCAAGCCATCCAGTACTAGAAAGGCAGACTCCTGGGGCTGCGGAGGCCCGGGCGCTGCACCTTTGGACGGAGCGCGCAGGACGGGGAGCTCTTCGCAAAGGTCTCTGCCCAATGCCTTCTGGACCAAAGGCTCCGCCCGTCCCGGGGATTCAGGGCTGAATTACAGCCCCTAGAGCCACGGAGGCCCATGCGTGCCTCAGGAAACCATGGAGATGGGGAGGGGCCGGACAAGACAGCGGAGAGGAGCCCACTGGGGAGAAGTCAGAAAGGCCAGGAGGAAAAAGCAAAACAAAACACAGAGGAGAGACGCAGACAGATGGGGGGGGGGGGGACGGAGACGGACGGAAGAGACGGCGAGGGAGGGGGAGGAAGAAGGGGGTGAGGGGCTGCGGGAAGAAGTTTCCAGGCCAAGTCCAGCCCAGCTCCCGCAATCTGGACAGGAGCCGCTCCGCCTCGCCCTGACCGGGTCTTAGAAGCTGACGGATGACTGCTTGGGGAGCGCATTTGGGCCAGGGGTTAGCAGCCGGGAAAGAGGGGAGGGGGGGATGTTCTCCTCCACCCCAGCTGCGGCTGCCCCAGTCCCCAGGTGAGCCCCCCTTCCTCCCGCTGGATGTGAAATCGCCATTTCACCCCGCCACACTTCTTAATTGTTGCAAAAATCATTTGTGAAATTGGTCTCCAACCGGTGAGAATGGCCACGCTCATTCCAACAGACACCCCTCACCCCCACCCCTGCCCGCCCTACCAGGGCCCTTGGATTCCCCAGGCTGCTGCCAAGCACGGGGTCTGGGGGAACCTGTGTCACCTCAGGACCCACTGCAGCGGCAAGGAGGGAGAGGGGACCGCAGCAATGTGGCCTGGAGCTGGAGAGTCCCGCAGTATGGGTCCCACCCCGAGGTGACCCCACTTGGCTGAGGAAACTCAGATGCAGGCAGCGGAGTCCATGAGGGAGGGAGGAGGCCTCCAGGGGCCCTGGGCTTTGTACCCGAAGTCTCTGCACACCCGGAAATGGACAAAAACACACACTCTCACCTTCCTGCGCGATGCCCGCGCAACCTGGGTGTGGCTTCAGAAGGTAAAGGCAGACACAGCCCACACCGGGAAACCCTGACTGGCCACACACAGACCTGCACCCAAACCCAGCGCGTGGACACGCACTGCAGCCCACGCTCGGGCACTAACACACAGGTCCATCCCGCAGACGTAACAACTGCTTCCAGGCAAAGACGGGGGTCAGGGAAGAAGGAAAGAGCACCGGCACGTGCGGTGTACATGTGTGGATGTGTGCGTCTGCCTACACAGGAAGGGCCCCAAAAAGCGCACGGAAAATAGAACCAGAAGATACCTTTCTTTTCAACGTAGACATTTTGGAAACCCATGCATTTATTTTTTTATTTCATTTGCCATGAACTTTTCAAAGATCCCTCTATGCACAGATTTCAAAACAAACATTGCACCAAAATGAACTTCCATTCCATGAGCTGGTATTCACATACAGGTGTGTGTATGTATGTGTGTACTTGTATATGCAAATATATACATACAGATTCATCTCTGGGGTTCAGGGCAGGCCAGAGCCCCCAGTGAGATGTAAGGTGGGGTGACCATCTTCCCTGGACACATATACTCTGGTTCAAGCCTTCACCATCCAATCCCTTTTGGGGGACGGGCCCTCTAACAGGCGCAGCCCAGCAGTCCGGTTGTAAGTACCCCCCCCCATCCCAACCTAAAGCCAGTTGGCCTAACCTTTCCCAATTCTGGGGCCACTGGAGGGTGTGAATTTAACAGAGTTTTCAACAGGGCCCTCATTCCCTCCCAGAGGGCCCCCTAAAAGTCCGATGAGCCCCTCCTGCTAGGAGAAAGGGGGTCTGTCGCTTGCCAAGAGGGACAAAGGTCACAGGTGAGAAGGGGAGGGAGGGGTACCTCCCGCTGAAAGCCCCCAGGCTCAGGGAAGGCAGACTCCCGGGCAGGCGGGGGAGGGGGCAGGGGGTGGACACGATTGTATTTTCGCTTCCAGTGCTTAGCCAGAGACGCTCTTTCTCGGGAGGGTTGGGGGGAGACAAAAGGCCAGCAGCCACGGCGTCCTGTCCCGCTGAGAGGGCGTTTCGCCCCCAGACTCCCTGTCCCCAGGCTAAGGCTACTGGCCATTCCGGTCACAGTACAGAACTGCTGCCTTCTAATCCTCCCACCTCCCAGCTCCTGACAGCCTAACGGAGCACCTCCTCCTCACAGCCACCCCCGCGGGGCTCCAGAGGGGGACCAGGTCCCCCTCCCCAGCTCTCCTCTCCCTGTTTTGTGGTCAACTCCTGTACAGCCTCAGGACGCCCATACCTGCTGGAAAAAGTCCTGGGCCGTGGCCTGAAGGGCTAACTGAGAAAAGGGGGTGAGCCCCTGCTGCAGGTGGCCCACAGGTGGGGCAGGGGCTGAGAAACCGTCCACAGCCCCAGGCAGCCCCAGTTTTCCAAGCCTTGGGCCCGGACACCGTATCCGGGCGGGAGGCCGGCCGGGAACGGGACATCATCTCACTGAGAAAGTCACTATCCCTCCCGAAGTGGCCCGAGCCCTCCCCCCCCCCCCGCCGGAGGGGGGTCCCACCCGGAGCCTGCCAGCGCGGCAGACAAGGAACTGCACTGGGGCTGTGTCCCCCGGAGGCCGGAGAGGCCGCGGCCGTCCCAGATGTTGTCACGGGCGCGAGGGACGCTTGGATCCGGCCCATTCATCAAAGGAAGACGCCCGCTTGAAGCCGGGGCCCCCTCTTCGGCGGCCCAGCCCCCAGCTCCGCGGGCTGCGCTCGCTCCGTTTGCACGGGCAGTTCGGATTCGCCCCCAAAACGAGGTCGAGCCGGGAATTAGAAGAAAAAAAAATTCGTTGGCGATTTCTTTTCGTTATTGGTCCTACGCTCCCCTCGGTCCTGGCCCCCTTCCCTCCTCATGAATAAAGAAAAGTCCGAACCTATCAGATCTCGACGGCCGCCGCCTCCTCCTCCTCGGGCTCCGGGGGAGCACTTTTGCACAATTTACCCAGCGCACCACTCGCGCCCCCTCGCTTCTCCTCTTCTCTCCCCCGGCCCCGTCCCTCCCCGTCGCCTGCCCGCAAGCCCCGAGCCCGGAGCAGGCATCTGCCTCCTCCTCCTCCTGCAGTCCTCCCCGGGACCGGGGAGCAGCCCGCGCGCTCCGCCGCAAGAAGGCGCGGGGCCGAGGGAGGGAGCCAGCCGCGGGAGCACAGACACGCCGCCAGCGGCCCGCTCGGCAGCCTCGCGGCTCCGAAACTTTGGCTCGCGGGCCTGAGCCCCGGGGACCCCGCTGCCCCGCGCGCCCCCGAGCCGCTCCGCGGGTCTCGCCGTGCGCGTCGGCGCGCGCAGCTCGCGGCCGAGCGGAGCCGGCGGAGGCGGCCTTGGGGCCCGAGTGCTTGTTTGCGTGAACTTCCTCGTCGCCACCTTCCCTCCCCCCCCCCCCCGCCAGCCTCCGCCCCCGCCTCCCCCCCCCCCCCCCCACCAGCTCCTGGACGCGTTCGCCTGCAGCCGGGGGTGGGGGGTGGGGTAGGGAGTGAGTGTGCAGGGGAGGGGGGAGAGGTTAAAAAAAAAGAAGAAGAAGGAGGGAAGAAAGAAAGAGCGCAGCAGGGGTAGAGGGAGCGGACGGGAAGCGAATTTTGCCGACTCCGGACGCGTCCCCGGTGTGCGCAGGAATGGCTGCCCTGCCCGGCGCGGTCCCGAGGATGATGCGGCCGGCTCCGGGGCAGAGCTACCCGCGCACGGGATTTCCCCTGGAAGGTAAGCGCGGCCCGGCCGGCCTCGCCCGCGCCCGCGCCCGCAGCCCGCAGCCCCCGGGCCCGGGCGAGGAGGCAGTCTCCAGGGGCGGGGGGCGGCGGCGGCAGCCAGAGCCCCCTGCTCTCCCGGGTCCGAGCCGGGCGCGGGACTCGGCAAGTTTCTGGGCTCGGCGCTTGTCGGTTTCTGCGTGGGTCTCTCTGCCCCGCGCGCGGCCTCCGCTTCTCAGGGCGGACACCGCTGGCCTTCACCGCCGGCTTGACCTCCTGGGAGCCGCAGGCTCCCGGCCCCGGCCAGGTCCCAGTGCCTGTCCGCGCCTTAGGCGGTGTCAGAGACGTCTCCTCAGGTGGTTTCTCGGAGGGCTCCGGCGCTCGCCGGCCACCGGGATGCTCGTCCGAGCCCTTTTATTTCGAAACTCCAGCCCTGTGTGATCCTTGATCTGCCCGCGCTGCCAAGGATCCTCGCTTTTCCGGAGCTGCCCTCAGACGCGCCTGCTTCCCGGCCGAGAAACAAACTAAGATTAAAAAAAAAAAAAAAAGTAACGATTTTTCCACCCCCAAAAACTTTTCTCTCGGATTCTGGAAGCCTCCCGGGAGAAAACCTGGAGACAGCGCGAGGGCACGGCCTTGTGCAAAGCGGGACAAGTGTTGCTTTGTAACGCGCGGTTCCCAAGTAGCCAGCGCCCGCCCAGGCGAGCGCGGGGTGGACCCAGGGCGCCCCGGCCCCCGGCCGGAGACCTGGCGGCGAGCGTGGGCGGAGACCCTGTCCTGTGTTTTGGGGACCGTTTTAAACTCACGGGAGGCCTTCAACCAGTCACCCAGGAGGCGCCCGGCTTCTGGGGGTGCCGGAGCGAAGTGCTCAGACCTAACGCGCAAAGAGTTTTGTTTTTTAATTACTCGCGTGTGTAATTGTCTGAGCCCCTCGTGCTGGCTGCAGGGGAGGGAAGGCTGGGAGGGGGTGGGCGGGCAGGCAGCCCGCCCGCGCTCCGGGGAGGGGGCCCCGCGGGCAGCGAGACGGCACCGGGTCCCCGCGTTAGAGCGAGGCGCAGAGGGCGGCTCCGTGATCAAGTGCGCGCGGGCAGCCACGCAGGCGGCGGAGCGCGCAAGCCCGGGGATTTGCCGAGGCTCTCCTGGAGCGAACGCCAGTGAGACAGGCGGCTGAGGACGCGCGGCGGATTAGGACAATATTTGCCCAACATGACGCGGAATACGGAGGAGAGGCGAGCGCCGGGCGCTGGAGAGGCTCTTGAATACAAAGTTTGGCGCTCGAGAGCTCTCCAGCGCTAATGGCATACCCCGCCGCGGAGACCCAGGGACTCGGGCTCGGCGACGCACGATTTCTGATTAAATCCGAGGGTGGCTTCAGATACCTACTTTTACAGAGAGAGGTGGGGGGACCGCGAGAGCGAGGGAGGGGGCGGCAGGCACAGCTCGGCAGCCCGAGCCTCTTCTCGCCTCCTCCCTTCCAATTAACGCTGTCAGCTCCCTGCGCTCGGGCGGCTGTGAAATCGCTCTAATCTTACGGATCTCCGCAGCCGCCGAGTGCCCAAATTGGGGGGATCGAGGCCGGATTAGTGCACCGGGTGCCCCCCAACCTTCCGTGAGGAAATTGTGTAGACTTTGCATTGAGGCTGCCGGGGCGCCGTCTCCTCCCCGCTCGCGCCAGTCCTGGTTCCCAAAGCGCCCCGCGACCCGGGACTCTGACCAGGTCGCCGTGCCAGCCTCTCCGAGCCTGCCAGGGACAGTGGTTTCAGAGACCGAGTCGGGTATTTGATTCAGGAGCTTGCCGAGGGCACAGTGTGTACCCCCCAAATTATCCCAAAACGAAATGAGAACTTTGAGAGTGAGTGCAAGCAGAGGGACAGCCAGGTGACCCCAGAGGCAGGGCCAGCAGCCCGGTGCCACCAGCCCCGCGGCGGTGTCTCGGCTGTAAAAGCACCAGGAGCCCGGTAAATGCTAGCTAGTCAGCAGCCAGCGCCTCCTGGGCCCCTGAAGTGGCTGCAGCAAGCCTGGAGCTGACCAGATGGGCCCCATCTCAGGGGTTCTTGGCTGTTCTGAGGGCAGGAACAAGGCAGCCCCACGGCCCGCCCGCGCCGGAGCCCTGTGTGCGGAAAGCCGCCACTCCCAAGGTCTCCATGGCCCCACCAGCCTTGCCGATCTGCTCCCCGGCCTGTCTCTATACACCCCCCCCCTCTCAGCGGCATTCCCCAGGTGTGGCCTCATTCCCTGCAGAGTAGCAGGAGGTGGGGGCGCGGCACTGTGACCCCTCTGCCCACATGCGCAGGACCCTCTCGGAGTGGTTTTCTGATCTCTGAGCCACCAAAGCCCTGGGCTGGCCAACCTCTAGGATCGGCTGTTGGCGGTGTGCGGGTTCAGACAGCACTAAAGTCAGGGTGCACGCTCCTCCTCATCCTTACTTACCCCGTGCCTCTCTCTCTGTCTCGCCTCCCTGCCCTTCTGCAGTGTCCACCCCGCTGGGCCAAGGCCGGGTCAATCAGCTCGGTGGGGTCTTCATCAACGGGCGACCCCTGCCTAACCACATCCGCCACAAGATCGTGGAGATGGCCCACCACGGCATCCGGCCCTGTGTCATCTCCCGCCAGCTGCGCGTCTCCCACGGCTGTGTCTCCAAGATCTTGTGCCGCTACCAGGAGACCGGCTCCATCCGGCCGGGGGCCATCGGCGGCAGCAAACCCAGAGTGAGTGTCTCCGCCACAGAGGCTGGCGGCAGATCTCCCCGCGGGGGCCAGGGGGTCCTGGCTGCAGCCCCTCACCCCAGTAGCACCGGGTGTCTCCCTGCTGCCTGCGGGAAGTACTTGGAGAGAGTACTCCTACTTCCACACGGCCTCCCATCATTTTTCCATTTCTTGAAACCCCCAGAGATAGTATGGGGGGACCTTAAGAGGGTCTTAGTTGGGTTTTACTTTGTTAGCTCTGTCTCCCTGCCCCTGGCTGTCCTCTTGGGAACCAGGAGTTGGCTGCTTGAAAGGATAGAGGCAACCTCAAAACGGGGGGGGGGCGGGAGGGGGGCTATCAAAGCCACCAGCCCGGCCTGGGGCTCCAGGGAGGTTGATACTGAAAGTGTCCCCCTCCCCGCCCCATCTCTCCACTCCCGCTCTCCCGCCTCCACCTCTGAAGCAGGTGGCGACCCCGGATGTGGAGAAAAAGATTGAGGAGTACAAACGGGAAAACCCGGGCATGTTCAGCTGGGAGATCCGGGACCGGCTGCTGAAGGACGGGCACTGCGACCGCAGCACCGTGCCCTCAGGTGAGAAGGCAGCTGAGCCGCGCTGAGCTGAGCTCCGTCCCCTCGGGACTCCCGCGGCGGGAGACGGTGGGAGACCGAGAACTTGGAGGAAACTTAGGGAGGAAGGGAAACAAGAAAGAGTGTCAGAGCAAATCAAAACTGAAAGGAAGATGGGAAGGGGGGAGAAGGAAGAGAAAGAAGCAAAGGGGAGGAGGAGAAGAAAGACCGGGAGGAGGGGAAGGGAGAGGGGGAGGCTGGCAGGCCGGGGCAGGCGGCAGCAAGTTCACCTAGAGGGTGTGTGACAAGGGAGGACCCTGGGAGCGAGGCGGGTGTGTCCGGGAGAGGTGGTGTCTGGGGGCTTCTCTGACCACCTCCCTGAGTAGGCATTCCCCTTCTGTTGCCAGCGCCGGCCGCTGGGTCCTGAGTTCGGAGGCGCCAAACCCTCCTGCCTGTGAGAGAGAAAGTGGCCCGAGTGTGTGTGTGTATGTGTATAAGAGACAGACAGATGCCCTGGTGCGTGCAGGCCCGCCGGGCTGGGACACACACCTGAGTGTGAGTGTGGCAGTGCAGGCTATGAAGGGGCTGGGAGATGGCGGGAGGCACAGACAAGTGAAGGAATGCACCAGGCGGGTGCGCAGGTGTGAGCGCCCAGCTGTGGGGCGGGTGTGCCCGTCCGTGACTGTGCGATGCCCAACTGCCTGGTGGGGGCGGAATGGAAGGGAGCGGAAGGGAGGAGGGGGCTTCCTGACTTTCTCCCAGGGGCCCCCGGTGGTTTGGGCTCCCCGTGCCCCCCAACGACTTATACGCGCTCTTTTGCCTTTGAATTTCTGAGGTTTAGTGAGTTCGATTAGCCGTGTGCTCAGAATCAAGTTCGGGAAGAAAGAGGAGGAAGATGAGGCCGACAAGAAGGAGGAGGACGGTGAGAAGAAGGCTAAACACAGCATTGACGGCATCCTGGGCGACAAAGGTAGGGATGTGGCTCCAGGCCGGCCGCTGCTCCCGCCGCCCCAGCGCACAGGCCACTGGGTCCCCTCCGTGCACCCCCACCCCAGGCCCTGGTGGGATGGAGAGCCCAGCGCCCGGGGCCTCCTCCTTCTAGGGGGAGCCAGGCTGTGGGAGCGCTGGGGTCACTGTGAGCCGTGCACCTGAACCCCCGCGTGCTCCCGAGCGGGATCTGCCCGTGTACCCCGGGTCCTGAGTCCTCTGGGGCTGGCGTTTTGGCTGCTGTTCCGATGTTGATCAATTATTTATAGGAAACTGGTGAGGAGGCGGGGGTGGGGGTGGGGGATGCGGCAGGAGGAGTCGGCCCCGCGGCTCCCTAAATGAATTTGTTAACCAGAGCCGCACACGCTCGCTAAACGGTCCCTGGAAACCCCGCCTGACAGTTGACTGACCGCCCCAATCAATAAAAATTAGCCAGGGCCAGCGCCGGCCGGAGTGGGGGGCTGGGGGTGCTTTCCTCTTTGGCGCGCGTGCTGCCGGGGCAGAGGAGAATTGAGGTCAAGTTCCCAGATGCCAGGGGTCGGAGGACCCCAGGGGGACAGAGATCTGGGTGCCCCACAGCCTTGCCCACCCCGACAGGCAGGCTTGGGTATGCGCCCGGCGCCCTGCGCTTCCTCGTCTGCCTGCTTTGTTTCTGCCCCCGGGGACATTTCAGCAGACAGGGGCTAGCCCTCCTCTCATCCCCTGTCTTTCGCAGCTCTCTTTCAGGCTCCGTTTGTGGGTGCAAAGTAGGGACTTGGGGAGGGGAGAAAGAAACGGGAGACCTGCAGCCACAGAGGCTGCCGGGGAAAGGAGGGTCCCAGAGACCCGGGCTGCGAGGTGGCAGCAGAGAGAATCGGAAAGACAGCCGCCCTGAGAACCTGCCGAGCCCTGGCTCTGGGCAAAGCTGGGGGCGGTCCTGGACCCTGGAAGCTGAGCCGAGCCTGTTGTGTGTGACTGTCTTTCTGGGGTCCCCTCCCGGCACTCCTAGGTGGGGTCTCTCTGAAGTTCTGGTCCCTCCAACCTTGAAGATGAACTTCACGGACAAAGCCTCCGCAGGCCAGGTCCTCGATGGTGTGTGTGTGTGTGCCGGGGGAATTGGGGGCCGCACAGCCCCCAGCGAGCCTGCAGCCGAGAGCTGGGGCAGGGGCGGGCGATTGACATTGAGGGCCCCAGCGGAGCGGCAGTCCCGCTCGGGACAAAAGGGCAGGGGAAGAAAGGGAGGGAGCTGTGCCTGGCACCCCGCTGTGCGGGGCCTGCCGAGGGGCCTGGGATCTGTGGGAGGAGGCAGCGCTGCACTACCAAGTAGCTCCCGGCCCAGGCCAGTCAGCCCAAGGCGCCGAGACCCCCGCGGGGGGACCCAGTCCTTATTCCAGTTCCCACTGGACAGGGCTACAGGGACTTGGTGTGGGCAGGTCGGTACCTAGAACTTGAGCGGCTTTTCCCAAACACTGCACGCCCGCGGGACACCTCTGCTGAGCGACCCCAGCAAAGCAGAAAGGGGCTCGGTTTGATTTGGAGAGATTTCGGGTGCGAAGAAATACAAATAGGGCTACTTCCGGGGATGGAAGGGAAGGAGGTCACCTGCGCCCCCCCTGGGGGGGATTCCTTTGACTCTAGGGGGCTTGGGGGGCTTCCAGAAGGGGCCTGCGGGTGCTTCCAAGACCACCAGCTCGGAAGCGACTTCGCTGGATGGAGGCTTTCTCTGCAGCAGAACCAGGAAGCTGCAAGTCTCCGAGGGTGGAAAGAGGAGCCCTGAGGCTCCAGGTGGGGGAAGACTGAGCTTACGGGTGCCGGGACCACAGAGGGCCTGCAGGAAGGCCTGGTGTCCAAACACACCCCACAGGTTTTGAGTGACAGCAGGCGCGTGGGTCCCTGCGACTGTGTGCCAGATGCCGTGGCACCTCTCGGTGTGATCGCCCCCCTTGGGTCTTTGGGTCAGGATGCCCTGGGCTGTGTGTCCATGCGGGGGTGGGGGGTGGGGTGGGAAGGGGATGCTTCTGCAGGAGGGTGCTGCGTGGTGGCAGAGAGTGAGCGTGGACCGCGCGGTGCTGGGGATGCCAGGGCTGTCTGTCCATCTGCGGACAGTCTGTTTCGGCCCCTGTGTTGCGTGCCTGGGCGGTTGGCAGGCTCCTCCCCTCTGGCCCTGGACCCAGACAGGACCTCAGTGACTGAGTTAGAAGGTGAAGACACCTCTCAGCCTCCGGCCGCGCCGTCCGGGTCCGGAGGGGCAGAGATGCGCAGTGGGCAGAGCAGGGGGAAAGGTGCACACCGGAAACTTTGTTTTGGCTTCTTGCTCTTGACAAATGCTTTCTCCGGGGGCTGCCCCTCTCGTGGCGGGGAGCCGCCAAAGAAGGGGTTTAAGAGCTCTCCTCTTTAAGCGCTAAAGAGAGATCCCTCCCTGAGTCCGTTTTTTCCTATCGTCCGCTTGGCATTTAATAATGTTAAGACTTATTAGAGCTGGTAATGAAAACTGGGACTGCTGAATAGGAAACTGTGTTGGAGAGGGGTGTAATAGCTTCCAGGCATGGTAAGAAACTATTTATCCCCAATCAGTCCTCACTCTCAGAGTTGGAAGCACAAACGTTAAGTTGAAGGGTTTTAAAGCAGATTAAATTGAGCTTTTATTTCTGTGCACTTTCATCTCTGTACAGCTCACTCCTGCTCCCCTTGGGCAGAGATATTCATGAGGCTGTGCGTATTTTTTTTTTTTTTTTGCTCTTATCCTTGTTAAGACTGAGATATTAGGATTGTTGGTGGTGAGTCCCCCAGACCGCTGCCGACAGGGGCTCTGGCCAGGCTCTGGTCACCTGCAGAGGGAAGTGGACAGTTCTCTGTCCCCAACCCCACAGCCTCCCCTCCTTACCCCTTCCTCCAAGGACCAGGGCCCACCCCCAACCCCCGCTGGGCCCCAGGGAGCCAACAGGGGAAGGATTTGAGGGGAGGGAAAGGCAAAGATGTTCCCAGAATCTGAGCCCAGAGAGATCCTCGTGGGGAATTGGCTAGGGGCTTGCAAAGGGTCAAATCGCTTCTCTCCTAGGAGCCAAGGAGTGAATGTGGAAGAAGTGAGAGGTAGGATAAACAACAATAGCAACACTAACAAGCAGTAGGAACTGGGGCTCTCGCGGGCCACAGACTCACAAGACACAAGCTGAAGCCCAAACTGGCGAGATCAGACGCGGCCCCAGTGGGGCGATTAAATATGGGGAGAGGTTGCACAGCAGCAGCAGATGGAGGAGGAGGAAGGCGGTGGAGGGTGCCGGAGCCCAGTGGGAGAATTTGCCGCTTCCCAAGCTCCCGCCTGGGGAGGGGGCGGCAAGTGAGGCAGATTTATTTTCCTTCCCCTTCTCCATTTATTTTTACAGTAGCTGACTTACAGGTGTGGCGGGGGCACTGCCCGGGGAAGGGTGGGAGAGGAGGGGAGACCCGAGGTGTGGGTTTTAGACACTTGTAAAAGGAGGTGGGAAACAATTTAATTTGGCAGCCCCGATAGCTGCTAATGCGGTTTTCGGTCGTTTGCTACACTGGAGGAGGCTGGTTTGATTGTGTGTACAAGGACCTGCCAAATTTAATTAGGCTCCGGGGAAGCGGATGAAGAGGAGGAGGGGGCACGGCTCCGCTCAGCCCACACCGCCTTTCGGTTCTGTTTCCTCCACCTGGACGGGACGAGGTTTCTGGGCTTAGGTGAGGAGGGGAGGGGCGGGGGCGCGGGGGCGCGGGGCGCGGGAGGTGCCGGAGCCGGTCGGTGTGTCCAGAAACAATCTGCGTTGATTTAAACCAACAAGTTCGCGCCTCTGTAAATGTGTGTTTAGAGAAAGGTAATTGACACTCCACCAAATCAAAGGATTACCCGGGGTTGGCAATCTAATCAAACAGAGCCCAGGCGGGATTTGAGGCTGTTCAGAGTGGGATCAGCTTCGCATAATGGGGGCTCCGAGGAAGATGGGGGGGGGGTGTCGGGCAAGTCCTCCGCTGCAGGCAGCGCTCGGCGGTGGATCTCGAGTGAGACCCGAGGGGCCGAGCGCGGGGGATGGGGCGAGCGGAGAGGGGGTGTGGAGCCAGGGCGCGCGCCCCCCTCCACCTTTCTCCCACCCACCCCGCCCCCCTCCATCGCAGCGGGGCGAGGGGCGGAGGGAGCCGGGGCTGACGAGCAGCGACAATGGGGAGATAAGTCGCACAAAGCGCGGCGGCGCGCGCGCTCGCGGCCCCGGAACCCGCGGTAAACAAAGTCGGCAAAGTGTTTGCCAGATAAACTCGCGCCTAAATCAAGTGTGACGGGCCGGGAGAGAAGAGACAGAAGGAGATAAGGTTGGAGGGGGGATGAACGAGCGTAATCTAATAGAAGACATTTAGAAAACAAACTTTAAACAAGGGCGAACAGGCGAGCCCAGGGTAATTATCCGCCCCAGAGCGCGGGGGAAGCCGGCGGAGGGCTGGGAGGGGTGCGGGGACTGGGAGCCGCCGAGGAGCTGCGTGTAGGCGGTGGGGTGCCTTTGCGGCTCCACGGGGAACCAGGACCGGGGGCCCCGGGCGGTGTGGGGGGGGGGCGCGGCGAGAGGGGCCTGGCTCGGCTAAGGAGGATGCGGCGCACGCAGCCCGCGTCCCCCCCTGTGCGCGCTGTCCCGCCTAAGCCGCGCGGGGCCCCCGCCGCGAGGGCGCGCGGATGCTGTGTGCTCCGCCGGGCACGCACGGCCGCACACCGCCTGTTTGCAGCCGTTTGTACCTAAAAGACGCGTGTGCACGGCGCGGCGGTTAAAGGCATTAGATATTTACCAGTTTGAAATAAGCCTGGCTAAGAAGCAGAGGGAAGAGGGAGACACTGCAAAGGCGAGGCCGGGGGAAGACTTCAAACGAATTCATCATCAGGAATGGCAGAGGGGAGATTTTACCAGGCAGTATTGGGAAGTTATTTAGATATTAATAACACATTTTCCTGAGGCGCGCCGCCGCAGCCATCTGCGCCGCTCTGCGAGCTATTTGGCTGGG